TGCCCAGGGAGGGTGAACCCCCTCAGCCCCAACTCTCTCCCCCGGTTCCCAGCAGAATCCCAGCCCCATTCCCTCAGCTGCCCCTGTCTGAGCAGCAGCCACAGCGACCTGCAGCAAACCCTGCTGTCAGAGTTCCCCAAAATCTGGAGGTGGAGAGCAGACAGCTTCATGCAGCCCTCCCCTTCAAAGTGAAAATACAAATCTGATGTGGGACAGTAGGGGTACACCAGCTCCTTCCATATAAAGCTCCTACCGTGGCCCTGGCCTAAGAGGGGTCAACCCCCCAAACACTCCCACCCCTTTAGAGCCAAGTTTTGCAGGAGAATGAGCAGGATGGGGAGAGAGGGGGTGTGTGGGACACCCCCCAAGGAACACCCTTGGCAGTGGGGTGATGCTCTAAGTCACAGCAGAGCTGCAGGAGCGCAGGCTGTTCTGCTGCCAGCTCCCTCTGCTGCAACTGGGATGGGATGTAGCAACCTGTGTCATCCAGACCATCAGAACATCACCCCTGGGACCCCCATAACAAAGCCACACACGTCCCTCAGCAGCCCCAATGCACACAGCCACCCACAGAGCTTTTTATGCAACATCTTTCACTGAAACCCTTTTTTTTTTTTTTGGCCCAGGCTGGAAGGTGAGGTTTGGGATCCAAACCAACCACGTGCAGCATCCCTAGAGCTCCCCGCAGATAAGTGCTGCCCCTGGCAGCCCCCTGCCATGCTCTGCCCAGCGTGGCCTCCTGAGCTGAGCTGTGACTCCAAAACAGCCCCAACCAAAGCCACATCACTTCACAAACCAAAACATCGACTTCAGAGGCGAGGCGGGCACGGGCTCTCAGCTTTCGGGTCACCATGGAGACACAACCGCTGCAAAGAGCAGGGAAATGCCTCGTGGTTTTGCTCCCTACATGAAAAGCAGCTCTGGTAAGATGGGTAGCAAGCCCTTTAAAGCCAGGTCTGCACGCAGGCACTCAGCTCAGCTGCTCGTTGTTAAAGTGTGGTTAGCAGAAAGAAAAGCCACGCTAAAAATAAGGCCTCAGCATTCCAGATTCCAATGACTTTCCTCCCCAGTCTGCGCCATGTGTGAGCCAAAACAACTCTTTTCCTTCACCACCAGCCCTAGGAAACACCTCAGCCACGTCCATCCCACCTCTGCCACCCCAGCACAGATCGCATCCACATCCCAGTGGCATAACAGGAGCAAACACCCTACTGACCATAAGACATACCAAGCACTCTGGTTATCTGATAACAAAAGTGCTGTGCTGTATGAATCCGTACCAACGAATGTAGCTATTGGCTGTAAGGGATTGTTTGCAAAACGCCATAAGCACCAAACAAACCAAACCCCATTAGGAGGCGCAGTGATTTTTGTGCTGCAGTCACTGCTTCATCATAGTATCATTAAGGTTGGAAAGGACCACTGAGATCATCAAGTCCGGTCATCAACCCATCACCACCATGCCCATTATTGCCTCAAAGGAGAGCGGCACTGACCCCAACCCCAACCCCAATGCCAACCCCAACCCCAATCTGCCCCATTCACACTCCTGTCCCTCACTTCCCCCCCTAGAGCCAATCCCCAGGGAGCAGCCACATTGCTCCCAGGGCTCCAGGCTTCCCTCACTTAACGGCTCATAAGCAAAGCCAAACACAACAGTACTGCAGAGCATTGGGGCTGATGTGATGAGTGGCTCAGTCCATGTGCTGGGACAGGAACAAGACAAACTCCAGCAATTCCAGGAGCCCTATTTGAGATAGGACAAGGATGCTGCCAATAGGTCTAAGCACTGCACAGGAACAGTAGAGGATAAACAAATCCGTGCATGGATCCTGCTGCAGCCAGCTCAGAGTCCAAATCCTGCTCCTTGGAAATGGCATTCCCTCCCCTTTTTTGCTGGTCTGTGGGAGATAGAGAAATATTTGAGAACTGAAACAGCCTGGCTGCAAGTATGCATTCAAGTAAAAGGAACACAACTTGAAAAATTGCCACTCAGGCAGCTCTGGAGATAACAGCACTGGGGAAAAGCACAAGCAGGGAATGCCCAGCCCTTACGTGTGGTCTGGAGTGACCTAAATATGTGCTCCTTCAATTATACATCCCTGGGGGGGATGTGATGGCTGGCAATTAGAGGCAGAAGGGTGATGGAGCTCATCCTATGGCCAGACCAACTCACTCCAGCCCAAACTGGGGTGGATTGCAGCTGGGACCCCAGCACTGAAACAGAAGGGCTGGACAAGCAGTACAACCCCAGAGCTCTGCAGTCATTTTGCTCTTTTCCTACAGAATCTGAGCTCATTCCACACCCATATCTGAGCACAAGAAAGCTTAGGAATCTTCCAAGTTCACATTTAGTTGCTCTGCCTGGGAACCCCTTGTCCATAGCTAGAAAACAAATGGCCATAGGAGAGCCATAGTAAGATCATGGGGCCCTGGAGCAGCACAAGTGGAGACTGTAGGGCCAGAGAGGGCTAAACAAGATTTCAGTTTCCAGGGCTGCTAATCTGGGATTACAAACCTGCTAAAACCTCGTTCAGATCCCAGTCCCGGAGGGTTTCCTGCCCTATGGAAACAGGGCATGCAACACAACCCTTATCCAAACACATGGTGAAGCTCTCTCCAGCTTCTCTTAGTGATATCAAACAATCATCAGAAACTCCTCCCACCTCCTCGCTCCCTTCCTGCACTCCCATCTCAGCCAGCTCCCGGCTCACCCAACCCTTCTGGCCAGGAGCCACAAGCAGGTCCCTCTCCAGCAGCACTGACAGATGATGTCCATCCTGCAGATTGCACAGGGGATATCGGGTGGTGCCTCGGGGAGGGACACGGGCTGTGAGAAAAGGATCCTCTTCCATTGGAAGTGGAAAGAAAATGGCTTTTAAGTGAGATCTTCACCCCTCCTTCCCTGCCGTAAAGCACCAGCACTGACCTCCGAGGCATCTGGGCTGAGCAATTCAAGTTTTCGAGGATGTGTTTAGCAACTGAGAAATCTCCCAATTGTTCAGAAAACAAACAGAGCCAAAATAACCACAATCCAAGAGTTTTCAATAGCCCTCACCACTTACACGGAGGTTGGGCAGTGCCAGCCCCAGTCTGTGTTTGGAGCATGGAGCAGGAGGGCCCCCACACTCATAGCACTGATTTGGGCAGGACTGGAAGCAGGAAGGTCCAAGTAAAAGGCAAGCAAAGCAGCACTGGAGATCGTTGGCTTAAAAACTGCCATTCCCCACAGCTAAAACCAGTTCAAGAGCCCTCGGACCTCCGAGCAATACAGGATGGGGAGGATTTGAATAATCCATCTTCTCCTCCCCAGATCCATCTTGCAGAGTAACCTCACCCGAGCCTTATAGCCAGGCTGCTGCCAGCACATTTGCCACAACAACTCTATTTAATTTTTGTCCCCTTTCAGCGTGCCTTTCCCCAGCTGTGTGCTGCAGTGACAGCAAGCCAATCCTGCTGCACGCAGTGAGCGCTGCATCCCACTCCAGGATGTGCTTTTTGGGGCTGCTCTGCTCTCACACAGCCACATCATGGCCCAGAGCAGACATCTCCAGGACACGGCCAATGGGCTGAACGGTGGGGATGGTTTGATGGTTGGACTTGATGATCTTAGAATAGTTGGGGCCATGCAATGCTGCTCCTCAGCCTCATAACTTTGTTTTGCAGCCCCAGGGTTGCCTCCTGTGGGGTGCATGGGGTGGCTGACCCCAAGGGGAGAAGCACAGGAGCCCCCATTCTGCCCCCTCCCTGCTCCTCCTGCATCCCTGCCAGCACCGCGGCCCCGTGCAGCCTCCCGGAGAGCAGCAGGCCGCAGGGGCTGGACTTCCTGCCAGACATAACATGAACCAGATGATGTGCTGTGAACAATGTCAGCACACCCACCCCCAGGAGAGAGAAGCAGGGGAAAAAGGGGGGGGGGGGGGGGGAGAGCAAGCTGGAGAGAGTTTTCATGAGCTGACAAATCCCTGCTGCCAGGCCAGAGGTGAAGCGATAGGGCTGGAGCCAGCAATGATCCCGTACAGCCTGACCAGGAATTTCCACTGTGGGTTATGGGGTAGGAATGGAATCGCCGTTCTGAAGCGATGCCGGATATCTGCACGGAACTCAGTGGTTCCGCGGGGCGTCCCTTGTTCTCCCCCCCCCCCCCCCCCCCCCCCCCCCCCGCCCCCCCCCCCGCACCCCACGGGCCCCGGGGGGGGCCCCCCCCCCCCCCCCCCCCCCCCCCCCCCCTCACCAGCATCCAGAGCCACAAAACACATCTGCAGCTGGCTCTGCACCCAGCCCAGCCCCTGACCTCGCCGATGTTAACCCCTGTGCCTCCAGCCTGCAGGGCTCCATGCTGCTGGGAATGCCCAAACCTCCCTCTCCCTCCCAGCACCGCTCGCTCTGAATCAATGACATTCCTGGCACGCAGAAGATGATCACCCATCCCGAAGAGAAAAGCCAGAGCTCTGACTCACGTTATTTTGGGTGCCTCGGTCTCCACCTCCATGCAACAAACTGCTCGGGTTAAGCCACCCAGGATCGAACCCAAAGCAACACCAACATTTTGCATCCTCCAGCAAAGCCCATAACCTTCCCAGAGGACACTTCTGTGGTTTAGACAAGCCCAAAGTCCTTAAGGGCAGATCAGAGCAGCTCTCTGCCTGCAGTAGCTGAGCTGAGATATTAATAAGATTTTTCATAAGACACTAAAAAAAAAACCTTATTTTGAGGTCTGTCCACTTCCCCTGCTGCTTAGAAGAAGGGCAGCCCTTTGCAAAGCCCTGTCTGGCAGCCTGCCCGCCGCTCAGAGCAACAACACCAAGCAGGGCCACTCACTTATTTAATAAATGAAACGAAACAACGCCGCGTTGTCCCACAGCTGTCCCCATGCTTAACTCCGGGAGCTGCCAGAAGGCGAGCACCGCGATCCTCCTGCACCGGGCTGAGCCCCAACCCAACTCATCACAGCACGACCCTCACCTCCCAAATCCCCCCCCCCCCCCCCCCATCCTCACCTCCAGCGGCGGCAGGTCGGGGTCGAGCTGGGTGAAGCTGTGCAGCACTACGGGGCTGTTCTCCCCGGCCACCTCCAGCCTCACGCCGCCCCACAGGCTCCGCGCCCGCCGGCAGCCCTCGAACATGTCGGGGGCGGGCGGGGCGGCATGGTGCCGGCGGCTCACCATGGGCACAGCCACCGCATCCCCGGGCCGGTCCGGGGGGACCGGGATCCCGGGATAACCGGGGACCAGCACCGCCACCGCTCCCGGGATGGGAGAGAAGCTGCCGGAGGGAGCAGCGGTGGAGCAACACGGCTTCACCGAGGGGCCGGGCTGAGAATAAGCGGCGCTTGGATTTCCTCCCCCGCAGCCTCCGCCCGCCCCGGGGGTTGGCCCGGCCCGGCTCGGCTCGGCCCCCGGGGGGAAGGCGCGGGCGGAGGGGGCAGAGCTTCAGCCGGGAGCTGCGGGGGAGCGCGGGATGGGGCAACGCGGAGCCGAGCGAAAGGGGATCGAGGTGGGCGGCAACGGGAGAAGCCGTGCGGGGTGGGACGTCGACCCTGGAGGAGGGTTTTGGTATCGTCAAGCGTTCGTACAGTTCCTAACATCCAGCCCTGGGGTTCAGAGCGCACCACCTCGAACCCACCGCTAAGTATTAACCTAGTGCTTCAGCCGGGCTGCTTCTCATCATCCCGCGAGCTCAGCCCCCACGGTACCATCTGTGCTCAAAGCACCGCCCAGCCCCAGCAGATTTATGGGATGCTGCAATCATTGAACCCCTCGGCTCCTTCCCGGTGCTGGCCCCAAAGTTACAGCCCATGGAACCCGGGGCGCCTTCCCGATGTGCAGGCAACCTGGGGGGCGCAGCAGGGTGCGGAGCAGCAGTGTGTGGCCCTGCAGGGATGCAGAGAAAGGGGAACTGGCCTGGGGTGCAGCAGGGCTGCCGATCCCACTCTGAAGTGTCTCTGAGCTCTCAGGCTGATGCAGAAACCACACAACGTAACTGTTTTCAGAGGCCCAGAGGAACAGGCAGAGCCGTTCCACACTTACTGCACGCACTGAGCTCAGCATCCTCTCACCCTTCCCTGCCCCATCTCCTTCCCTGCCGATAAATGCATGGCAGCTGTTGCTGACACCACCAAAACCCAGACGCTTATGCCTCAGCTCTCTGCACAGCTGAAATAACAGCAGCCTCCCAGCCGTGCAGCCCTGCGGCTTTATTTCCAATGAAAGCATGGATATAGGGGCTGCGTATCCAGATCTGCCCAGGGCACCTCCTGCCTGGGCAGGAAAGGATTAACAAAGCTGAAATACTCCTCAACTTGAAAACGTACCAGGCAGGAGGATGAAGGAGGACAATGCAAGCTATTGTCCCGCTTATCTGGAGCTGCAGAGGGTCAACGGGACCTCCAGGGCTACACTATGGGAAAGGGAATAGAGCCCTGCACAAGGGCTGCACGCAGCCATACAACTTTGAGATGCTCTGTGGGGGTGATGCCAATCCTGACCCTGCATGCCATGCAGCATCGTGTGATGCAGCGAGATGTGCTCTGCAATGCAATGGGTCACATGCAGAGCTGAGCTCGGTGCATGCAGAGATAGGGATTCTCCAGAGCAATCAGTGCTGCCCTCAGGAGCTGCGGGGTCGTGGAGAGAGAAGCCAGGGTTCAGCTCTTGGGGAGGTGAAACTGTGGCCCCACAGCTGGGATGGCTCAGCACTGAGTGCACAGAACACATAGCAGCACTGCTCGTCTGCAGCTGCAAACCTCTGTAGAACCCCCCAGCTTTGTCTGACCTCTACAGAAAGCTGTGGAGCTGTTTGAGGGGTGGCATTCATCCGTCCCTTGGTTGACCACTAAAGATAATTCCAGGAGAGAAACACTTCTGATAATGGATAATAAATAATACAGCGGCAGGAAGGCAATGGTGAGGGTTTAAAAATAGCCAGGCAGTTTCCTTTTCCCTCTCCTGGGAACCTTCTGGGCCTGAAAAGCAAAACACTCCAAGCGGGGTCAGGAACCCCAGTTCAGGATGTTTGCTCAGCACTGCCAACCCCACACACTCAGTCATTGGGGCCGGCACTCCTGAGCACCGTGAGACCCAAAGCAAAGACATGCTCAGGGCTTCTGCTTTGCCTCTGAAGGGTGACCATCAGACAACAGCCTTGGATTCCTCCCCTACAGCTGTGAAGGTCTTAAAAATTTGTGCAAGTTCTCATCTTTGAGGTTCCTTCCAACCCAAGCCATTCTGTGACTCTTGGATTGTCTTACAGGCACGTGACTCCGGGATTGGGGATTTAAGGAAACCATTCACTATTGAACGACTCAGTGAAATAATAATAACAATAAAAATAATCGTTTCATATTTGGCAAACTCAGCAAAAGCTTTTCACAACATGCTGAGCACTTCGTGTTGACGTCAGCTGTGAGCATCAGCAGCAAAGACAGACACAGGCTGCGGGAAACCCCTCGCTTGGTTCCTTCCCATCACTCCACAGTGAGCATTTGGCTGAATAAACACAAACTGGTGCCCCTTCAGATCGCAGATCTGCCCTCATCTGCCACAGCTTGTAGCCCGCAGGCTTCCCCACGTGGCAAATGATGCAGAACAGGCAACAAATGGGCACTTGTGCCAATGCTGAGCCAATGCCCTGGGTGAGCTCAGCGCCTCTGGGGCAGCACTGCAGGTTCAGACCCTACATTTGTCTCAGCACCAGGGCTCAGTGCATGCTCTGAGTTTTCTCCCAGCATACACAAGCTCATCCCATAACCCAGGAGTGCCCCCAGCTCCATCCCACCCTCCCCCAAGCTGCTTTTCCAAGGCCCAGTCTTAGCTGGAAGGTGATGATGATAATGATGATCATTACTGGCATTTCTCATAAAACGAAGAACTAGCACCACTTCCTCATCTATTCCAGGGAAAAACCCTCAGACCTTGTGCAAGAAGGGAACCTGATGTCACCGCCGCACTCAGCACACCCTAACACTGATGTGAAGTTACAGCACCGCTCCCAAAATCCAGGAACCAACAGATCCCAGCCAGCTCTCCTAACGATCATCAGTGCCTAACGAAGGAAGCACACCAACTCCCCTGGCATTAGGAGTTCACCTCTCCACCCCACACTGCTGCACTTCATCCTGCAGCCCTGTGCACAGCTGGGCACAGCATCTCCTGCAGAGCCCCACAAATTTGGAAGGCAAAGCAGCTTGCAGGAACATTTTCACCCCATCCTACTTCTTATCTTTGACAGCTGGACTAAATGATCTTAGAGGTCTCTTCCAACCTTTGTAATTCCACGGTTCATACCAATCCACTTTGCCATGGTATTGGAGCACCTTCTGTTCAGGGTTGATAACTTCAACCTCTGGTTTTCAGACCTGCAGACCTCTGAGTATGGAGCAGAACGCTGCCAGTAAGGGGAATCAAGGCATTTTCTGAGGAATGTTCACTGAACTTCTGGCTCCAAGGTCGGCTGAAGCCTGACATGCTGCAGACACTCATGCGTATTTCTTGCACTGTGTGTCTTTGAAGGCAGTGTTTTTCTCATTGCTGCCTTTCTGCCAGAGTGTTTTTGTCAGCTCATGTAACAAACACCACTTCAGGTACTCATAACCAAAAGGAAAACAGGAAACCCCTTCTTTCTGTGTTGCTTAGCAATCAGCATACAGCCAGCTTGGGGCTCCTGGCTGCACTGAGTTGTAGCTTCCACCTTTGCTCGGCTGATAGAAGGGAAAGGACAAAGCACTGGTATGAAAGAGAAGAGCTATGAAGCCACAGAAACAGGCTGGGAAAGTCATGGATGGGTGTAACCCCTAAAGAGAGGATAAATTCTTCTCTGAAATCAAAACATGCAATAGAAAAATAGGGTGACATCATCAGAAGCCATTACATATATAGAAATACAGCTCTGGCCATCGCTGCAGCACCAACAAAGTGCTCTGAGCCCTGCGGGGTCCCTCTGCACTGCTTCCCAAAGGGAACAGAATCCACAGAGGAACATGGATGGGATGGGAGCTCAGCCTCTCAGACCCACACTCAAGGGCAGGGAGTACATTTTTCCAGCGATGGTAAATAGCCAAAATGACGCTTTCAGCTGAATTGTGTAAAAGGAGGCTCTCAGAAACACGAGGATCTGGCACCGGATCAATAGAGAACTCCCAGTGGATAACAAAGAAACGTTGCTCATTGCCAGTGTGCTTTCCAGCCCTGCTCTCACCCCTCCTCCGGCCCATTTAGTGCAGTTAGCCCAGAACAGGATTGAGGTGGTGCACATTGAAATCTCAGATCCTGGAAACGCAGCACTAAGGTGAACCTGCACACAGCATTAATGCTAGAAGTACACAAGCAAGGGTACTCAAAGAAATCCAGTTAAACAGGAACAAAGCCCTTCAGTGGCAGCTATGGAAAGGGGATGTTCCAACAATGGTTCTGCATGGGGGAAAGCATACAGCAGAAGCTGTTATGGCACGAGCACAGGGAGGCAGAGCTCCTATGGAAGGACAGCATCTGACAGAGACAGCCCAGGGAAAATTCCTCTCTGTCCAGGCTGGGATGTGGAGAGCAGATATGGACAGAGTCTGTCAGTGCTGACCAAGCGAGCAGCAGGAGAGGAGCCTGGAAGTGCTGAAAGCCCAGACCTCGGTATTACCCCTACAACACATACAGCCAAATGGCTTAAAAGTCAATTAGGAACTGCAAAAGTCTGTTGGCCACCGCAGGTATTGGTAAACCCTCAGAACAAAGGAGGCTTTAACACCAAAATTTTCCTCTCTCTCGGTAATGACCACTTTAAAGGTTTCCGCCCCACATTGTTTCAGCAGGGGAAGTCATCCCAGTTGTGCCTCCCAGATTTCCGTGGGGGTTTTATGGCCACACGACCCCACTGGGCCGCCTCCATCCCTCGGAGGGCACTGCTCCTCCTGCCCACCTCAGCTCCACGCACCAAAGAATTTCGGTTTCCATTAAAATAACATTGCCATCCTGTGAGCCTAAAATTGCACAAAACTGAGAGCGAAAGCGTTTTTGCGGCTGAAGCGTTTGTAAGCAGTGCCTCCCACGTGGACCTGCTGGTGCTGAACGGCACACAACCTCACGCTGCAGAGGCTCAGAGGAATCCACAGGATTCCCTACCTCCTCTCAGCCATCTCATATTCACACAGATTTAATTGGTCTGCCAACCCTCTGCCAAATCTGCATGATGTTGGGTTCAGAAGTCATTTGGGGAAAGGACGCAGACACAGACAGGCACCCACCAGGGAGAAAGGCCAGAGAATGTGATCCAGGAGGGTCAGGAAGCAGACAGTGAGCACCACAAGCTGCTCCCTATGGGCTGGGTCCA